CGCCCCGAGCTCGGGGGAGGCGTTTTCGGGCGGAGTGAGGTCAGGTGCCTGAGCCCCAGAGGTGGGAAAAGCTCAGCCCGAGAGGCAGGGCAGGGACGTGGCACCCCCAGGTCTGTCCCTGCCCCTCCCCCGGGATGCGAAGTGGCCGATGGATTTAGCCCCGGTGCCCGCCGCGTCTTGGCCGGCTGAAGGTGTAATTCGGATTAAGGGACAGGTGTAATTCGGATTAAGGGATGATGCCCGCCACAGAACAGCAGACACCCACCTGCCTCCACTCCACTCCTTTTGGGGTGCAGGATGCCAGGAGCTGGGTCTCTGCCCCGCCAGGTTCCTACAGCAGGCAGTGCCTTCATCTTCCAGAGGCATGGGGAAACTGAGGCACCGAGCGCTCCTGGAGCTGCCTCAGCACCGGGGCCCGCACCAGAGGAGCCATCTCCTTGAGCTAATGAGTTTCAGCAGCTACTGATTTAAACCAGATTTTAAGTGAAAGGCCCCACGTTCCAATAGGAGTTATTGGAGACATCTCTTTTCCCTCGGCATGTTTCCTTTTTTGGCCCCGGTTCTGCTCCCCTTAATCATACCGTTTAAACCGTTGGATGTTTTGCATGAGTAAAGTGAGAGGAGCTGGAAGAAACACTGCCCAGCTTCGTGATTAAGCATGGGAAAAATGTCAGCATCCAACCGTTTTGAAAGGAAAATTAAATAAAGGAGTGTATGCACTTGCTTTAGGCCCGGGGTGTCAGCGCGATGGGTCTGTGGACAGAGCCGTACATCAGGACAGGGGGCTTTTAAGGAGCAGCCAGCCAGCCTGCCACTAATCTGCATCAGCAGCGCTTTCACAATTTGTTTATCTGTCTCTCTTTCCTATGGGCTTCTTGGCACTGGTGATAAAGGCATCTAACCTAGCTATAAACTAATTCTCCGCAAAAAAAACAAATGTATAATTGAGACAGCGTGCAACCTTTTATGTGCTTAACTTGTGAAATTCTTGCTCGGCAGGGTGTTTTACTGACAACAGATAGCAAAAAAAGTCAGCCCGTTTCAATAAAAAGTGCACAATGGCCACGGGAGAGGTTCTACTTGCTGCCTCCTCCCTTGGTGTATGTCAGCAACACACTAAAAATTACACAAAGTGAAAATAAAACCAGCCCCTTCTCCTGTGCCCTGAGAGCTGAAATTGCTAAAAAGGAACCAGCAATGCAAATGTTCTGACTGATCTGATCGCATTTGTTTGAAGTCACTGGGAATCTGTCCATTTACTTCGATGACCTTTACCTCCATTAATACTCAGTAGTAGTTAGAAAAGGGAGACTGAGATGCAGTGCCAGCCCCTAGAGGGAAAGGCATGGTCGCAGTTAAATTGTGCTCTTCACCAGGCTTCAATCCCCCGTCGGTTAATTAGGGTGCATCTGCGCAGTTCCACTAGCTTGGGAAGCATCTTCCTTGTTGCTTTTGAAAGAAAACGATAAAGAAATAGTTTTCAACCTGGTGTTTATCCTCTTACGGACAGCCCCACGTATTATCTGGTCTCAGTCTGCTCTTCAGATCCCGATGCACCTGCCTGGGCTGCACAGCCAGCCCCCGAGCTGTTATCAGTGGGACAGTCTGTGCTATTCTAAAGCTAACAAATGGATTGTCACTAACATAAAAAGGAGAAACAGATGTTTCCTTTCCTTTTTGACCGTGCTGATGCCATGTTATTTTAGGTTAGCCATATGAGACAACTACACTGCAGCAGGGCTTTGATAACCCTCCCCTCACTGTTAGTGCCACAATACGGCTGCTCTGTGAGCAGCTTCTCGGGGGCTTGATGCACCTTTAAGTTTTGGGTGAAGCACTCTGTTACCTATTTATTATCCTGCTTTTCTACTAACTTCCCCTCACTTCTGCCTCCCGTCCAAAAGGCGCTGGTCATCTGCACTTCGTTAAGAGGGCTGGCATAAATAGCACAGTGTGGCACATTTTAGAAAGCTGACGGCACTGGAAAAAAAAATAAAAAAATCAGAAGTGTAGAGGAGAGTCTGTCGGAGTGATCTGTTCAGCAAGAGAACTGGAATGCACAGGGGAGAGGAGAGCACTGGCACACGCAGCCCTGACGTGTTTCGAGATAGGGAGCTGATGAGCAAACATATCACTTGTCCAAGAATACGGGCATGCAGTTAGAAAAATGAATCGCGGGGCTATGCTGAAGTTGAGCTTTCAAATGTAAAAAGGAATGAAAACACAGCACAAATTACTCTTCTGTGCATCAGCAGTAGTGCACCCAGAACTTACTACGGGGACCAACGCAGTCCTACGGGCTTGATTGTGACCTGTGTTGAGAACCTAAGATATTAAGTACTGTGAGGACAAGTAGCAAAATGGAGTCTTAAGACCAGATTCACCTTGGTACCCAGTTTCTATTCAATATCAATAGGGAGGAGATATTTTACTGTCTCTGCGAATCTGGATCTAACTGTCTTTTTTAAGCCTGCAGTACCAAAAATGAAATGCATTTCTGGAGGACCACACCGTAAGGCACCACAGCTATGCAGCACCATCAGTGGTTTTGATCTTTGCCCTCTGCTGCCGTCATTCACACCTCTGGAAGCGAATATAAAATGCAAATGTCGTTGTGAGACTCTAGAGACTTCTGACTTAGCGGGGCTTGCTCATGAGTAAATGATTTCACCAGGAGCAAGGCAGTGGGAATGAATTAATTTAAAGCTTAAGGACACGGGGGAAGAAGATCCCTGGAGCTGAGCTTAGTGCTCAGTGGGTATCCGACAAGCCTTCTGCAGCAGCACCCTTCCAGGTGGCCTGCGAGTAGCTTGGTCTGAGCCTCCCTAGGGGGTGATATGCAAAAAAAAGAGCCTTAGGTGGCTCCACCCAACCCTACTGCTTTACAGACCAGTGATCCAAGGGTAAGAAGGCATCAGTGCAGCAGCCTGCTGGGGTAATGTGTAACTGCAGCTGCTGCCGACCCTTCCTTACAGGAAGGCTGCGAGCGCCAGGGGCAGTTCTGGGAAGGGGCTGTGCCTGAGGCACCTTTCCCTCAGATTACTCTGCCCCTTCAAGTCACTCTGATATATTCCATCTTTCACTTCTGTCCTTCCTGGGCTCAAAACCCACACGATGGGCAAGGACGGTGCTGACTGGTGGTCTGGGCTCTAGGGGAAGCGCAACCACAGTTGTTATTCTCCTTGCCTGAGAGAGGGACGCAGAACAAACAAAACATCACAGTAGATACTTAGAAATGTAGGCTCCTAAGATTTGATCATCACTGCACTTTATGGCTATTTCTTAATTACATAGGCATTTATTAACTAGGCTTGTAAATTCTGAAAGCTTAATAAGTACTTTGTGTTTGTTTGTGAGAGGGTCAACAGTGGCACCAGAAGAAATTTCAGCTTGAGGCTGAGGGTTGCAAAAGTCCCCTGCAAAGCCAGAAATAGAAGTCCCCTGGTAGAAATCCTAATCTCTGAGCACTGAGCTGCCCTGGGCAGTTCTGATTTATATGGCAACACCAGGCTGATTGTAAGATCATAGCTGAACGTGTTTCGTTAATTGCGCTGTGTATCACAGGTGATTTCTGTATTTATTGACTGCGCAAAGGGAATTCCTTTGTTTAACCTGACGCGTTTTCCTCCTTGTTTGTCTTCCTGGTTTTAATATCGTTACTGAACACCACAATGGAGTGAATCTGAAATCCGAGTGTGTAGGCATCGGTTAACTGGATTGCTAAAGAAAAGAGGAAAATACGGACGTGGCTTCAGCATCTGAAGTCCAGATTGCCAGGGGTCTGTGGCCCTGCTGTGCCAGCCTCAGGGACTCAATGACCACGTGGGCAGCTGGCACATGAAGTTCAGGAATCCAGGAAAAAATTAATCACTTGAAAGAACAAAGATTAGTTTACAGGCAGATCAGCTCCTTACATGCATCTGCTATGCAGTAACATGAGTGCTAGTGCCTGCAGAAGGACGAGGTCAGAGACCGAGGAGGAGGGTGGGCTCGCAGCAAACGAGATTTATATTAGTTTAAACCGTGGAGGCTCCTCACTCTCTGGAAAGCAGCAGGGAACTGGGAGGAGATGGTGTGGATTGCAGCCCTGCTCCCCACCTCCACTGTGCCTCCTTTCCAAGCTGTGTTGAAATGAGCTAAATCCCTGAATGAGTATCTCTCAGTGTACAAAACCAAGAAATCATTTAATGGATGAAAAACTATATCCTTTATGATTCTGTGCTCACATCCCTGAAATAGATTCAGCTGCAGTAGCCCTTGGTGCGTTCGGTGAGCTCAAACAGCAGAAGCAAAGGCTTTCAAGCACACACCGTGGAAAAAATCTGGCACATGAACTGCTTCAGACAAAGCACAGTAGCAAAACCCCAAACCAATATCATGTATGTGCCACTCTGGCATGGTCAGTTTGTTTGTTTGTGTAACTGGAAACAAACCCTATGACAGTAAAAAGAAAGATGTTCGCACCTTGAGGAATTTGCTATATATTAGGTTCATATTTTCAGTGGTGTTATTCATTCAGCTGCCTTAAAATGGTCTGATAGCTGTAACTGTTTCTGAGCATCCTTTTCAGTACATTTTTAATTTCCCTCCTTATTTTGACTGCGAGCATGTTGCTCTTGCAGTAAAATTACTAGCTATGACATTTCCAGTCTTGCAGGATTATCTTTGGACTAACTGCTAGAAAGTTTCCATATGTCTCTTTTCAGCCTGATTGCTGTGACTCAGGTACAGCGTTATTTTTCCTTCAGTTTGCTGTTTGTATTTACAAAGGTCACAGCAGACAGATCGCTGCCCAGGCTGGAAATAGAAAATCTGCCTATTTAAAAGCAGAGGGACAGATCCTGCCTCCAGCTATGTGTACACCTGGTGATCAGGGGAAGGGAGTGCCCGCACCAACACACGAGTGAGCACGTGTGAACAAACATCGTCCTAATTCAGCCCACTTTTGAAGGATGTAAGCCTCACTGGAGACACTCACATGCCTAAAGTGAAGCACATACCTAGGTCTGGTGCTGCCACGGGCACCTGCAGGCTGGTTTCTGTGCTCGCCACACAGCTCCACCATTTGCTCCAATCCACAAGTTGACTAGGCTTCAAGTGCAAAGAAAAGAGAAGCATTACAGAACATTTAGTAGTGAAATTAATCTTATACGTAAGTATTTGCAGACATGGAGCTTGCAGTTTATCTGTCGATAATGACCCAAATGGATGTCTTTGGCAAAACTTCGACTGATTTGGTTATAGTGGGAATTTGCCTGGCATGCTCAGTTCTGGGGAGCTGGATCTAGGTTCCATCAGCATCTTTTTACCCTCTCTAGGGGCTTATACACAGAATTACTTACTGGTTTGCAAAATCTGGTCCTTTACGCACATATGACTGCATCAAATTGTATCAAGTGACATCTACGTGGCCATGAAGAAGAAGAACACAGTTCTAAAACACTTTTTAGTTAATGTCATTAAATATGAGCTATTCCCCAGATGTGATTTAGAATGTGTTGCATTTTATGCACAATACTTGTTTTAGTACATTTTTAAAGACAAAGAAAAATATTCTGCGACAAAGCCAGTTGTAAATCAGGGCTGGATTTGGCTCATTATCACTAAAGAATCTGCATTTTTAAGTTAACTTTAGAATAACATTGTTGATTCTGTAATGATGTAAGTATATGATATTTGCCAAAAGCTGTATTTCATAAGGCTGCTTTAGGATACAACCCAACTCATAAGAATTTTGATAGGAGATTATTCCTTTCAATAACTTTCATAATTTAATTAGACTCATGTGCTGATTGTGAATTTAATACTATGGAGAATGAAGTCAACGTTAAAATCCTATTATTTTAAACGAGGCAGGAGCACACCCATACTGCGTAGCCAGGAAATATTTGCACACATAACAATACGTCTGTGCTGACAGAAATATATTTATTTGTACACACAGACAAAATCAGTGTCCTTCTACTATTATTTAAAATTTACCTGTTGTATTCCAACGGGAGCTATTAACAGTGCTGTGTAACATCCAGACAGAAGACAACTTTAACATACCAGCAAGGACTCAGGTGAGTTTAAAGTCTGAGTTTAGGAACATGTTCAAATCAAATCAAACAAGATGTGTCTAGGTGCTGAGCCAAACTAAAAGTAATTACTTCAGCGATGTAGTTTTGTGCTTCACTTTCCTCTACCTGGTGCTTAAGAGTCTTTTCAGCATGTGGTCTCAAGGCAAAATAGAAAGTTAAAATGTGGGTTTTGTAAGTATGCCTTCTGATTTTGGTCAGTTCTGTTGGATTTATTTAACCCCTAAGGTCCTTATTAGGACCAGAAATGCTGCACCAAGATCTGGACCCAGAGGGCAGCAGGAAAGCGGGGAGCAGCGGGACAGAGCCTGTCAGACCTGTGATGAGCACATCAGAAGAGAAGGACTGGAAGGCAGTGCTTTTGTTTCAGGTTAAGTAGTTGTACTTGCCCTGCCTTCATGCCCATCCCACTTGTGGAGGACCAGGCAAGGCCAGTGGCAGTGGCCAAGGCTCCAATTTGGTTGTAGCCATGAGCCTGTGCCAGCCCCTCATAGATATGGTGACTGTGTCTGCCCTCGGTCTGGCAGGGGTGTTTTTAATAGCATGCTCATTATACAGAAATATTTTCATTTGACAGACAATTTAAATGATCCTATAAAAGCTGCAATTACCATCAGGACAAATCCAGCTCTGATTGACTCCCACGTTAGCTCCCAAAGTTTGACTCCCAAGTAAGAGACAAGAAAGATTTACCCTTTCTTTCTTCTTTCTTACGTACGCTCTTCCCCCGATATCTGCCTCCCATGTTAATACCCTGAAGAATGTCTCAAACTCCAGCTGACTTAATCTGCCCCAAAAGCCACTGTTGAAATAGGAAGCACTATTATCTTCACTTTACTGACGAGGGACTGAGGAACGGAGAAAACGACTGCCTTGTCTAAGGTAAGACAAGGAGGAAACCTCTAGAGAAGCAGAGGGAAGAAAGTAGGTCTAGTATGGAATTCTTTTTCTAAAGGTCCAAAAATCCTAAAGGATTTTATTTTATTTTTTGTCTAAATAGGTCACAGAGGCAACCCTCACATGAAAATAAAATTAAATCCACAGGTTTTAAATTGGGACCTTGAGTTAAGAAGCTGATTCTGAAAATACTTTTGCCTACATTTTCATGCTAAGCGGTACATCAGTAGCTTGTTTGCATTGCTAGCTGCTCACATAACCTGCTTGTAAAGGTTCCTGTGCAATTCAGGGAAGAAATTGTAGTTATTTGCATCACGTCTTGGCCATCCTGGTCACCAAATGCAGCAGGTCAGCTCGGTCACCTCAGACAAGTTTGGCTGTGAGCTTAATCAGACACTTGGAGGCACCCAGGTCACCAAGTCTGCCACCTCAGAGCCCTGAGACATAAAGGACCAGTGCCGCGAGGCTCCTAGAAGGGACACTGGAAGTGGTGCAGAAAGGTTCTCCATAGGTTGGGTGCTTGCAGTTTCCTCTGAATGTGCAAGCTTAGGCAGGTCTTTTAAATCTCAAATTAGTTTTTACTGCTTTTCTCAGAGCTAAAATGTATTGCAAATGTTTTGCTGGTATACACTTTAATGACAGTAATGATGTAATAACCGTTAACATTATTTATCTTAGAAGACTGCAATGTGTCTCACCGCACACATCCTATTGGCATTAATCAGGGAAGAGGCCTATCCCAACACAAACATGTCAGGGATGGAGGTGTGGCTGGAGATGAAAAGGAAAGGCTGCTCCTTTTTAGGAAGGAAAGGAAGGTCTCCAGCCCCTCACCCCAGCCAGGCTGGCCTCTTGCTAGGCGTGGGCTCACCTCTGCTCCCAGCCTCCCCCCGCACCTGGGAAAGACCCAGCTCACTTCACTTCATGTGCACTTGGAGATGCCCGATCCAGGAATCCTCAGCCTGGCCTCCTCTTATAGTTAATGGCAGTACATAGGAAAACAACTGAAAATGTAATCCAGCTCATTGAAGACATGAAACATTTCCTTTTTCTTCATATATTGCTTATGAGATGCACGACATAAATGTTTCTTCCCTGGGTCTGTCAGCCGAATACTGGTAGTTCGACAAGAAGAACCCACTATTTTGCCTGAGTGTTGTGAGGGAAACACCAAAGCAAATGCAAGAGAGAGGCTTCAAACCAATTAATCTGGATCAAATCTCAATGGAAATATTCCTGCTAAATGTTGGTACCTGCAGCTTTGTCTGAGAGACTTTGAAGTAGTTCATTTTTATTTCAAGAGAGAATGCAGACAAAATACACAGATAAAAATATAAAAGCCCAACCCTTACGCAGCTCCTCATTTTCTCCTAAATTTCTTGGCTCAAGACTGCTGATCCTTTTCCCCATTATTAAAGGTAACATTAAAGCCATCACTGTATAGTTCTCTCTCCTTCTTCAGAATAAAGGTGCTGCAAAGTTTATATGGATAATTTCACTAGCTGTGATAGTTATCAGCTTCATTAAAGTGTCATTAAAGGCAGGGCTAATGAGAAACATTTGGACTACTGATCTATATCTGAGATGGCAGTTGTAGGAGATGGTTGTTAAATGGACACCTGGCTCAAGGACTATCTTGTTTCTATTTGCTGTGACTATCTTGGTAGTTCCAACAGTCTGATAAACATTTACCTATGTAGAGCATTTAAAACCTACATGGAGCATTGAAAATTACCATTTTTGAAATTGAAACTTTTTTTTTTCTTCTGTCTTGAGTGTAAACTGCACATAAGTCTTTCCTGGGTAGGAAGTCCAGGCAAGTGGCCTTTTAGAGGGATTCAGAGCTGGTTCTACCTGCCCTGCCACTGCTGCCTGGTCTCAGAGCAGACCCACCACTTTGAATATGTGCAGATGAATTATAAAGGCTGCAGAGGCTGAATCTGCAATTCAGAACCAGGCCAAGTGCGGGCATCTGGAGGCAGGGCTGAGGTGAGGCTGGATCCCCTGGCAGGGCACACAAGGGACCTGCATGTGGTGGTGGTGTGCATGGGGCCTGCTGCAGGACACAGGTGGCCAAGCTCTGAGGGAGGCTTAGAGGTTCATCAGGTGTAGCATGAGCTGCTGGAGATGGGAGATGTCTGCAGGGAAACAGAAATGCCAGTTTGGACAGAGGGGGTGGAGTGTGTCTTGTGGACAATGAGACTCACCTTGGATGTCTGCAGGTTTCCTGAGCAGGGTGACAGTATCAAGTGGACCTCCACACCATGTGGCCTGAGACACCCGCAAGTAGGCACCACTGTGAGGGTGTCCTCATCACCCAGCTGAGCTCTGCCCATGGGGTCTGGAGCAGAAAAAGAGCAGAGATGTCACATGTGGGTGAGATTGCTATGGGAGAGAGGAAAGAGCAGGAGATTCAGAGGCAGAGCCACATGGAAAGCTGAAAAAGGGAAGAGGGGCAGATTGCACAGAGCAGGAATCAGAGGAGAAGGAAAAGCTGCAACCCCAGACATGAAACTAAAGTAAGTTTGCAAGAAGAGAGCTGTAGCTGCCACGGAGCCTAACTGGTCACTTGGAAGGGAGCTGATGGGTTGAGCCAGCTGACAGTGCAGCACAGGCTTTGCTGAGAACAACTCCATTTGTGAATCCCTGGCGTACACTGCAGGGCTCGCTGGAATAAGGGAGGAAAGCTCACATTGGGCATACAAAAATCTGGAACTGATATATTGTGTTTGAATAAGATTACATTAATTAATCGTCCTCTTAGGAAAACTGACAGGTCCTGACAGATGGGATCTACCCAAGGGCATCAATCTTCCCCCCGTGACGGTAGCTGTGCGTGGGCCGCACGGCTCCACCTTGGCACATGGCCAGCAGCTCCAGCCCTCATGACAGAGCATGGCCCTCACGACAGAGCACAACCCTCACGACAGAGCACGGCCCTCAGGACAGAGTACAGCCCTCATGAGAGAACACAGCCCTCACGACAGAGCTCATGTCTCAATACAGCAGCCTGACGGCATTTGCAAAGGCGACGGGAGCCAGGGAATTCAAGTGAAACCACTTGTTAAATTCTGCATGACCTCTTCCTTAATTTGCAATAGGGATGTTGTGTTTCCCTGGGAAGGCAAGACTAGGACAATAATGTGTCTTTCCTCAGATATTCTTAGTAGTTCTACAGTCTTAACAGTTTTAAAAAATAGAGTGTAGATATATTTTCATGAGCATGTTTGTGGTCATATTTTGTATTCCGGTTTCCCAGTAAGACACTTTTTATTAGAGAGAGCTGATATAAATTAACATAGACCCGGCACTGGGTAGATTTGCTAAATAACAAAGCTGAGGAGTGATAAGGTTTTCCAAATAAAACTGAAATAGGGATAAATTGTCATTCCTTTCTTATTTTTCTTTTATTACTGAAAATGAAAATGGATTCTGAGGACTGGCTGTTTTCAGGGCATTATGTTCTGATTTCTGTGCAGGATATGATCATGCCTGAATTCAGCATCCTGCACAAGCCTGTGCAGACACCCCAGCACTGTGCACACAGGAACATGACAGATGCCTCACAACAAGATGGGCTTCTCGTCTTTACACAACAGTTTCTGTCTTTTCTTAGGAAAATAATTTTTCATTGTCAGCTTTTGGAAATAAAGCAGATGTCTCAACAACTTCCCCAGATTTTTCAAAACTGAGGTGATAAATATCCCAATGACATTTAGATATTTTAAAAGAAAATGCGTTTCAGGACCCAGTACCAAGAAAACTATGACACTGCCACCTCGTGGATTCCGAGATAATATCTACATCATATTTGTGTATTGGCATAAACATGCATGGCACGTCATGGTCAAATAAGAGCTCTTTTCTTTCCCACAGAATTTTGCAATATAGCATCCAAATTTTTGTAAATATTTAGGTACCTAATGATATAGATGGGCATCCTACTATGATATATGTAAGCACCTTTGTAAGTTAAGTTCCTAATACTTTCTTTCTGTTTAAGAGACATATTCTCACATAAGCGGTGCTTTAAAAGCAGAATTGGTCTAAACATGCCTGACACAGTTCCACTATACCAGCACTGAAAGTTAATGCTATACTGAGATGTAGTGACTCCTACAAGTTGTGCTTGGGATTAAATTCTTCTGAAGTTGTCCATGTATAATTGTTTATTGTAATTTAAACTGAATTTCACAGGTCACCCCTAAAAACGTCTGGGGTATACAAACTTGGGGAATCTTTTCACCTCTGATGTATTAGTATATAAATAACATGGTCTAAGAAGTGCTCAATCATACTGGAGCAAATGAATCATCAAAAAGGGGGAAAAAAAGCAAAAACCAAAAGAATCTCTTTATTCTGAAGGGTCTGAATTGTTCCTTCAACACATCATTGGTGACTGCTTACTAAATTATGACACAAGGAAAAAAATAAATAAAACCTACAAAATATATCATAGGAGCTTCAGTGCTGTCCTTGGGTTTTGAGTTTGGTGAGAGCTGCACCAGTATGACAAAATCCTGTACCTGTGTGTGCCATTATATGATGCTGAGTTTCTCACAAAACATTGCTGCAGAGTGATGTGCAGCACAAACCCATTCTGAGACCAAACTATTGGCAGCTGTAACAAGCCAGTGATATCAATATTTGTATTGAGACAGCTTGTCTCTTTAGGGGAATGAAAAAATAGCCCTTCTGCATGTTTGAAAATCAGATATGGAAACATCTGTGAAAAAAAAGAACTGTTGTGCTGTACAAAGACAAAGCAGAAGCAAGGGGAAGGGCTGTAAACCCCTCAAATAAACAATGCCTGAAGACTGGTTTAGTACTAAAATGGGAAAACAGACACCATCACTGGCATAAACTCCATTATGGTTCATATTTAAGACTAGACAGTGATTCATACTGTTTCACTAGACTCAGCATGCTGCAAACGGCACTTGAAATAATTAACACTTAGAATTAAACTACTTAGATTTCACATCATCAAACATTTAACTTTCTGTAATTCCCTCTGCAGCTGTGATTTATTTGCATTTATTATTTTCTCTATTTACCAGTTCTCTGTTGCTTTTTAAGTTGCTCATACTTCCTTCTTCTGTAAGTCTGAACACTGGCCTATTGTTTTGTTTTTAGCTCTTGCATCTTACTCATACTCACACTTCTGCTGGCTAGTTTCAAAAATGCATTGCATCAAATATGGTCCTCAAATTGCTGAAAGGAGTTTTCTGTTTATTTATTTTAATCATTGCTGTAGCCTTACTTGGTATTCATAACGTGCTTACTCATTACTGTAGTTTGATTGTTTAATATTGGCAAGAATATCACTAAATATATTTTTTCCTATTTCTCTCACAAAAAAATATTCATTTTGTTTTGATTAGGTTTAAGAAAAAACACAGATGAAGAGGAAGTCTCATTGTATCCGAACGCTTGTATCAAGAAATATAGATCAGAGTCCTCAATGTGACAAAGTTAGTGAATTTGTAGAGACAAAGGCCCAACAGATAACTCAAGAAAAAATGGACCTGTGAAATATTAGAAAAATCACCAGCTTTGATGAAAATGCACTTCCAAGTAAGGTTACACTGGAAAATTTCAGAAAGTATTTATGAACAGAGCAATGAAAGAGAGATCCAAAGTGAGACACCAACTGCCTAAATATATAAAAAGTTCCATTCTGGATCAGGACAAAACCTCTGAAAACTTATCAAACTTCTAAGTCACCCAGAGTGCACGTTTGGGGATGAAGAAGAAAGACAAGGCAAACAAGCAAGGATGTTTTCCCTAGTTTTCCTGCCCAAACTTCCTGAGCCAGCTGTTGATTCCCCAGGCTTTCATTCTTGATGGACATTTCTTCCATGAACCTTTCTTATCACTTTCTGTATTTTTCACAGTGTCCACTGCCAATGAATTCCACTGTTTAACTAGAATCTGTGTGGGAAAAAAAAAAAAAAAAAAAGCCCACGTACTCCTGTTTTAATCCCTCTGCCTCTTGATTTCTTTCTTTTCTTTTTTTTTTTTTCTGATTCCTGCATTTTGAAAAATAATGAACAATTTTTTCTCTCTCTCTCTTTTTTTTTTTTTTTTTTTTTTTTTTCCTCTGTGATGCTTACACTTCTTTGTACCTCTTGTATTTTGCCCTCATTGTCCTTTTTCTAGGCTGGCAAATCCTAGTCAATTTAGTCTCTTTTTTGAGCATCATCTTTGTCACTGTATTCAAAACCTTCTCTAGTGCTGCTCTGTTTTAATGAGAGTCCCAGAAGTCTCTGAAAGCAAACATTTTGAGAACCAATAAGTTTTCCTTAATAATAAAGTGTTTCAGATATTGAGGATATGTATGCTTCTTTTACAGGCTATTTTCATTTCAACATTAGCTCCAGAGTTTGTCACTCAGGTCTCAGAGCGCAAATTAATGCAAGCTGGGTGTGAACTGCACACTCACATGTGCATAACTGTTTCTTCATTGTTTTTACAACTTGTGCATGGATCTGGCTGCATAATTCCAAGCCCTGTGCTTTCTCAGTCAATTTTGGGAGAATCTGTTTATCCCTCAAGGGAAATTATGGGAAAGTACTGGCAGACTATCAGCTTTCTCCTGAGTTAGTCAGCATCCTTGCTGCTAAGTACTAGTTAAAGGAAAATATGGGTCTAACTGTAGTCTGCAGTGGAATAATTTATTTGCTCTCAAGGTAATACTAAAGCAAGGTAAACTATTTTTGTTTGTTTGTGTGTGTAGGTGGAAGGTAGGGCTAAAATCTGAATGAGAGCTTTGCTTTATTCTGCTGTGTCTTTAGAGGGCATTTTGGTGAAGATTTTTACTAACTTTTGGAAAATGCTGCTATTATTACCCTTGCTGTGCTTGGTATTTGTCAAAATAGTAACAGCAGGAAGACTGCCCAGAGAACGCTTGGATTAAAGTGTGGAGTAAAAACAGAATGTGCTGGTCAACATCTCTGTATGGAGCAGGGGGCTCAGAAGAAACCAAGTGCTTGGGTCCACCTTCTGTTGACACCCACCAGAGCTGTTAAGCTGCCAGAGGCCCCCCATTCAGTTGATGAGCTGTTTTTCATAGAGCTCATCACCTCAGAATGCAAAACATAAAGCTCAAGCTTCTGTAATTGCTGAAAATGAGATTCTCTTCACCTAATCTTAAAGAGTGCAAAAGCCTGGTATGTAATGTAAACTAGTGACATCCTATCTGTAGTCAATGAAGGAAGGTGTATGCGTCTTGAGAGCAACCTCTGCCTAATTTAGTCTTTCCTTATGCTCTCAGCAGCCTGGACAGCAGCTGTAGAGCTGACTTTTTAGAAAGTTAGAATTGATGCCAGTTGAATCCCATCCTGAATGCCATTGTGGAATAATATTCAGATGGAAAACGAACTCACTTATAAAGGCTACTTCAACAAATGAGAAGCCTAAGGGGAAACCTGAGTCAACCTTGCCAGTCACATTATTCTCCTCGAGGCAGCTGGAGTCAGCTTTTAAGTGCACTCTTCAGTCGAAGTGCACAATCAAGGAGGGGAAGGATGGTCATAACTCAGGCTTAAAAAAAGGTCCAAGCCAGAAAGATGAAAATTAAAAAGATAAATCAGCAATGATTCTCAGAGAGCAGACACCAAACACAGTACATGGCTCTATGGTCCTGCAGCTTCACTTTTCCTTTGGCATTTTGCAAAACCAGGATATATTTCCCTGAGACTCAGTGCATGGATGTCTGTACATTTGCATTGGCATGTCTAGTTCAGAGGTAGGATGAAGTGAGGTGCCGCAAGCCACATCCCCCAAAAGCTCCAGCTCTTTGCCTTCATTACCTGCCCCTGGATCACACCTCACCTGTCCCCCAGCAGGGTTCAGGGTGATGGAGCTGCGTGGCTGTGCTGCCAGGTGGGGCTCCTTGATGACTTCGTCTTGGGACATCGGCTCTCGGCTCGAGGCAGACTGCCAGCACTGCAAGACAGAAACAAGCCGGTGTGTGCAACACTTCACATGAGCTGAAGGAACTACCACGGGCTAAATAAAAGTCTGTTTGGAGGCAGGATGACACCATAAATTCCAGAAAGAACCTTATGGGGCAAAAATACAAAAACAAACAAACAAACAAAAACCCTAACAAAATAAATGCAAGACTGCTGGCAAAAATGAAAGCGAAAAAAAACTGAAATAACTCTTAGAACTAAAAAAAGTGTTTTTTTGCAGAGTTCAAGTTTTTATTTCTTATTTTTTTTAATGGTGGAGAACTGGGCTTTAAACAATATTTTGGAGAAATCTGAGACTTGGAAATCATTTTGGAAGTAAATTAGAAAAAGATTTTAGCATCTTGCTTGTTTATCACAAGCAAGACATCGCATTTTAAGGAGAAGCTCTTATCTTTCTGAGTTTCTTTGAAACAGCACCAAGAAACCTGCACATAGATATTCCATAATAAGGCTCACAGAGGATGTCATAAGACATAGCCTGGGACTGGAGGGAGTGTCATCATCCTGTTTACATGCCAGCGTTTCTTTACTTGAAATTATCTTTATGCTTAGTTCTCCAAATACTTATATATATTTGTTGTTCTGATGGAAGGAATGGATCTCACTGCATGGTTCCTTATGCACTCTGGTGTTGTTTGAATGTGAAGACCAGAGAAGCTGTTATGTAGGCACATAATCTAATCCTGCAGTTATTATTTAATGGCTTTTTGTATCGCTGAAGTTCTGATTACATTTCAGCTGTTAGGATGCAATTAAGTTCATGGATAAGATTTTGTCCGCTACTGGTTATCCCGTCTTGCTTTTCACAGAAAAAATGTTCTTGTTACTCTGAGAAATGCAGTTTTAGGCAGCGATAGCATAAGAAGTTTTGAGATTTGAGTTATTTATAGCCTTGAAACAGGGAGGGGCTGTTGAAGATTGTACTCCCTGAAGCAATGTCACTGTAAGTACGAATTTTTCTTTCTGAAGAACGTAATTACGCTCTCCCTAATGCTGTTGCACCACTGACCTGTGGTGCTCAGGCAGAGGAACCACACCTCAGAGCAAAGAGCTGTCCCACCTGGAAGTGCTCAAGGTAGATACTGAGAAGGTACAAGGTGTGACTGTTTCTCTGGTCTGAACACATCCACTAAAAACTGAGCTAAGGCTCTTGAAATAATTTCAGGAGACAGCAGCTGGTGGTTGGTTGTACTCAGGACTAAACCTCTTCATGCTTTACAAAACACAGATTAATGATCAGTGTCCTCAGCAACAGGGGACTGCCCTTGTAATGAGCCTCATCATGAGATGTAAAATGGGCAAGAACCTTAAGGATTTTGACCTGTTTTAGCCCTTTTCTCCTAGCTCTGTTGTCAGTATTCAACATAATTAAATTAAACATTCTCAATGAAGACAGTGGGGATGTACCCTGTGCTTACAGCATCCCCAAGACATTCAGAAATCATGTATTCTCCTTCTTCAGGATTTTTTTTTTTAATCTAATCACATGATATACATGGAGTTTTAGGAGGTCAGTACAATTTGATTTTGTACCGTGACAGTAAAAATATCCATTTGTGTTGTGTCCAAAAAAACATATATTTTTGTGTCATATCCATTATAGCATGATCCTTTATTCTTGGTGGCATCTCCCTGCTTGTTTGGATAGGTCTCAAGAGGAAGGGTGAGACAGAAATCAACCGTATCATCAGGGGGAAGTGGATAACAGGTAATCCAGAGTCTCCTGGTGCAAGAGATGGCAAAGATCTCTCAATCAGGTCACAACTGCATGGCCACCTTCCAGGCTGTCCCATCACTGGCTCCCAGGCTTCTTGCCTGCCCCTCTGAACTTTTCAAAGGACCCAACGCTGAGTTACAAGCTACATGCACTCACTGCTTCCCTGCTTTCTCATGAGCATCCAGAACACGCTGGGTGGAAGTGTTGGGGCCATTGCACCCACTCTTCAGAACTGGCCAGCTTGCCTGGTAAGCGGTGTTACACATCACCAGGGCATCTGCCTGCCCAGGGAAGGATGGAGTAGGCTGACTAATTTCTCTGAGATGGTTTGACTTCCCTACCATAGCCCCGACCCACAAAGCACATGAATAGAAATACTATTTATTTCTCATAGAACGTGCCTTATATCCAAGATATATTAGCTTGCTTTCAAACAGAAATGAAAACATAAACTGCACTGCTAAAGTCTTACTGTTTGTGTGATAAAACACCCCTAAAGTGCTGAAATGACATGAAATGGAAGAGTGCAGTTCAGTGGTGTGTAGGAAAAGTATAATTAGAGTTTACATTCTGAAGCTGGGAATCGGCTCAGAGATGGATAAAACATTACCATGACGTATTCCTGTTGATTTCAGTCAAGACAATTTTTTCTGCCTACCCACAGTCCGTTTGAAAATGTACCTTTATTTTTCTCCTTCTACCGGTTTTATTCAAATGTAAATCTATTGACTTTAGCAGAGTTCTGATATTTATCTCATTTCCTCAGTGTATTTTGTAGTCTTATGCATGACTTTTCCCTCCTGAAAAAAAAATAACAAGCAAGAAAAACCCACCAAGGTCTGTGATATGCAAACTGAAGCTCAGCACCTTCAAATTGCTGGGGCTGAGGATGCATTACTATGTGCCAACCTTGTTTTATGCCCTTTCCTAGGCCTCTGCTGTAGCCTGTTGTCAGATGGAGTATTGGGCTGGGTGGACCCAACAGTCTACATGACACAGTATTCATTATATTCTTCTGGTTGCTGCTCTACAGTCAATTTTTTTTAGGGGTACTAATCTAATGAACTAATTTTAGAGCTTACAAATAATAACATTATTAAAAAAAAAAAAGAGTAATTAATATATATATTTTTTTAAGATCAATGACCAAAATAGAAAAATACACCTCCGAATCAACCCCCTTCTTTCTCTTTCTGCAATGATATATTGCTAAACACAAAAAAGAGAAATGGTCAGTCGTACACATGTGACAAGAGAATTCTTGCTGGATTTACCAGAGCAATACTCCTTTGAAGAACCAGAAATCATGGAGGCATCCTAAGGAAGAATTTTTGTTTCCAGATAGGGAATGGTTAAGGTTACTGTGAAAACAAAGAAGAAAACCTGTATTCATATTGCTGCTACGAGAGTCTCGGATTAACACTCGGGGCTTTAATTTGAGCAGTGTCAAATACCACAGTGCTTAGAAGCAGAAGTACAAATATTTGTACTTAGAATTAATGCCTTTATTCTTTTACCAGAGCTCGTACACTTTTAAATATGGAATCAGAAGTGAGATAAACCTGGCAGCCTAGGATGCTAAAAAATAGGAAGGCACCACTTCAGGGTACTGCCTGGTGGCCTGGGAGCCTGGAAACCTTGTGAAGTTGGGATCTGGCTCCATATGGCTCACAGATTTACTTTACTTAACAGAAAAGGACTATTGCCATCCCAAATAGCGGCAGATGTTTTTTAAATCAGAAAATTAATAGGGTATCTCCATCAGCTAATGGGGCATCCCAATGTCTTTATCACAGCATGGTTTCGGTGGTATTTTCAGTTGTCAAGTCAGCTCTCGATGGGCAAGGATCATCATATTCTGGTGCTAGGTATGGAGTAATGCTACTAGATTTAAATGAGAGATGCATGCTCTTTGAGTCCAGTGCTGCCAAAATGTAGGTGTTCTGGTATACTCATCTGCAGAGATGTGGAAAGGCATGAGTTTTTTTAGCTGCATTTCCATCATTAAATGCTTTGAAGGACATTAATTTAGGAGTCAGAAAACTCAGATCCTATCGTGAAGACAGTAATTGTAGGCAAAAAGCTTTCCCACACAGCAGAAATGAGATTAAGCGTCCAGTTGCTTGGTCTGCATGCACGCCTATTTCACACGGTGCAAAATGTCCTTGCAATTGTACCCATTCAGTTGTGGCCACCAAATGATGAGGAATAGCTGTCTGGCAGCCTGGTTGGCCTTTAGCTATTTTTCTAAGCCTACAAGGCAAATTTGGCCAGCACCGTGGAAGAGCAGCTACACCCAAGTAAACAGTCTGATTCAGAGTTTCTTTCCCTTGGCTAAACGAAATGTGCACAGGAGAGAGTCAACAACCCCCAGTTTGGAGAGCACAGGACTCATAAGCAGCAGCCTAGTGCAGAAACACAGGGCCCTGGTGAGGAAGGGTTTTTATTCTTCCAAGCTATAATAGCCTTTCTCAAAGCATGACATTTGTTCACCCTTTCAGAGTTGGCAGTGCTGGAGCTCCTGGTTTCCAGAGATGTTCCAAGCTCTCCCTACGCCCCGATGGCTGTGTCCTCTCCCAGGCCCAACAGATTATCCAGGGAGCACAGCACATCAGGGTCTCCTGGGGAACACCGGGTGATACCCAGCAAGCAGCCCCTCGTTGCCACCAGCCGGGGGCTGAGGCTGCTGCTGCACTTCTGCAGAACAATGGGCAGAGCCGTATTTCACTGTCAGAGCGGTGACAAATGTTGGCCCGCCGAGACTCCTCGACGTATGCAACTTGGCTGGCAATCAATGGCAAAGGTCATGAGTTGTCGTCTTGCATCTCTGAGCTCAGTGAGACGGTTTCGTGCCGGTTTCGTGCCGTGTTAGTCGCTGTGTATTAAGTTTCAGCAAAGAGAGGGCAGTGGAGGAGGAAAGAGATTCTTATCTGGAGTTAGGTGATGTTAAATGTTCTGAATAATTAGATAAGATTGTGTGTGTCAAACTCCGTAAAAAACAGGCTGTGTTTTCTGATAAGAAGTCTCTGGTTCCCTCTGCCTCCCTGCCCTCCAGGACATGCATGCATGCATGCACACACCCGCACATTTTAAGTACTTTCAGGGCTCATTAAGCAAGCTGGGCTGATAGCTGTAGAAAATGTCATTCTTTCTCAACGGAGCAATGAATCTGTGTTCTGCACATTTTTGGAACTCTCAAAAAGTAGCCAAAGTAGGTGAAAATTCACTTTCCAAGGCTGATCCTTTTATTTTCA